CAGGAATTTAGACCAGCATCACAGCGAAGTCTCCTTGCAGCCTTTGACTACTGTATTAGCTGTGGCTACAAGCAGGAGAGAAGTCAGAAAATATAAAACCGTATTATTAGAAGTCTAGATGTACTGTTTTTATGGGCGAAGTTTTGTAACAACAGCTGCTTGCTTCAACGAAGCATTTTAGGAAGTCCCTCTCCTGTTTTTAAAAGCCTGTAATTGCCCATCAGACTGCAGCAAGGGATTTTATATTTTTTTTTAAAAAGATTGCACCAGCATTATGAAAGTTTGCTTACAGCTGCCTCTAAATTCTCAGGATTACTGTTTTGAAATATTACCACTGCACATACCCAGCAGTTCTAAATCTATCCTTAAGCATAACTTCCATTTTACATTATGTAATTTTATGAACAAAGAACACACGTTTTCATAACTACAATATTAAAATAACTGCTAGTTGAATGCACTCTCCTTCACGCCTAGCCAAGCCTTTGCACACTTCCAATGTCGACTGGCAAAGCATTTTTAGCATTGTCTACAGGGAAGACTCATGTCACTGAACATGGAAAATTCTGAAAAATTCTCCTACTCAGCTCTTGAGATTGTTCAATGGTACAAGGAGAGGCAAACAAGACGGTCACTTTATGAAAAAGTGCCACTGCAGGAAAGTTATTAAACATATTCCTTAAATATGGTAAAATAAACTTATGTCGTATATATGTAATAGTAATAATTAACTGAAAATAGCCTGTCAAAAAAAAAAAAAAGCTTTTGTAGCTGTGTTTAATCATTAACTTCCTTGAGAAAGATACCTGCAAGTTGGAGGGAAATAGAAAAAGAGAAGTCACTTTCAAGTTTCCTTTCAAGGGAAGAACACAGTCCATGTAGCTGGAAGACCTAGCTTAGCAACTCACTGCTTAGAAACAGCCGAAGAGGATTGTTCCATAAAGACCATCTTTAAGCAACTTCCTAAGTGAAGAAACTCATATGATATAATGAATTTGAAGCTGTAGTCCCAATATCTGCTAGAAAGAACACTCTCCCTTCATGTATATCTTTCTTAGCCATCCAGGGGTTTCCCAAGAAGAGACTAAAGTACTCCACTGCACCTCATCTCCGAAGTCAGAACGCTTCTCCGTCGGCCTGCATACCCACACCCACAGCAGCAGCTGCAACTGACAAAGCTGACAAATGCGGTATTGCCAACAAGATCCTAACTGCATTAAGAGGAGCAGAAAACATTGACCAAAAAGAGTCTGGTTAATCTTTCTTTAAGAGGTCTCTTGTATCTGCTCACCAAAAATTAGGAGCCAAAATGCAGAGGCAGAACGAGTAACAGAAAAGCACAAGCACCATTATTGTCAGAAAACCCACTTAAACCAAACTGTTCAAAATCTACAGAAACGGTATCTCTAAAACCTTTCTAAGCACAGATGAGATTTGTTAAACAGACCGTATCCGGGGCATGTTCTATCCACAGACTAAGCCCAACAATCTTAGGAAGAGAAGCGCAGTGGCAGAATGAACATTGAACCAGGAAAAAGGGGTAGAAACTAAGTGCGCGTACGACAAATTTAATTGTATTATTACCACCACAGATTCTGTATAGAAGCATTCTTTTTCATTAACAATGAGATCCAGACTAATAATGACTTTTACATCAGACTGTAAAGATTTTGGCTATTCAACAGTTGTTCAGTTTATAATAAGGCCAAAACCTTACTGTGTAGTAGTGTTTCCTCTTTTCCCACTAACAAGGGAACACTGGTGCTTAATTATTAGTTTTTCCAGTGTCCAACCTGTTTGTCATTTAGGCCCATTCCTCCTTACCATTTGATACCGGCCCCGTTTATAGTCAAATCATTTATTTTTCCACTTAGTGTTTTTTTTTTCCAGGCAAGGGCACTTCAATTCCTTCAGCCTTTGACAGTCACACTACCAAACTAATTCACTCAGTTTAGGGTCCTTTTATATTCAAAATCTTTCAAATTTCTATTTTGTATTTGTTCTTTTATATATTTTTTTACTTTATATTTCTTCTTTTATTTTTATATTGAGGAGAGGACACCTCAGCTCCTTTGGACTTTCTTGATAGTACAGCTATGATCAACCGGAGAAAACACCAAGGAGAGTAAATATCCACATTCTTCTTGAATTGTTACGGTCAGACGGGGGTATTTAAAGCTACAGCCTTTCAGGGCTGAACAATACGAATTCTAGTGCTTGTTATTGTTTACAGAACATACTCCAGCTTATGATTCTGTTTGCTTTTTCTGCAGTACTGTTGCCTAGCAATCATTTCCCCATCCTGTACCTGTTCTCAGTACTGAGCTTCATATTTATTTCCACTCCTCTCCAATTTATAAAGATCATTTTGAATTCCAGTCCTGCCTTTCTACAGCTTAGGGTCACCTGCAGAATTAATAAACATACTTCACATTTCTTCATTCGAATATCCAATGATTCCAGATCTGCTGGAGACAGAGCACAATAAAAGGCTTATCACCAAGTTCATTTCCCACACCTGTGGGATCAAACCATGATAAACACTGTTGAAGTTACACACTATAAAATGAAGCAGGTAAACTGTGAAAAATTATTTATTGTACTAATTTTCAACAGACAGTAACCTTATGTTTAGAGATAAAAGATTACAAACATGTCTCATATGGGCAAATATTTGGTGAGCTGTTCTTTTAACAGTCTCTGCTAAAACCGTCATTGCAGATCAACACGAGTTCCAAGTGATAACTCGCATCGTACAAGCTACATAAAACAAGCAACCATCTTCTCTTTCCATCTCAGACAGGGCACAGCAACCTGGTCTCCCACAAGAAGCATTCACCAGGTGACTAAAGGCACCAGGTGCTGTACCATGAGACTACTAAGGTACACCAGTCACTACCAGTGTTCCAGCATCACCTGTAGTTCTGGTCCCAGACACTTCTTCTTGTATGTTCAAAGCCATCCAAAACAAGCACTTTGTGTTAACCCTCTGACATTCACATTTTCTTACTAAAATTAACATCAGCGCTTCTCCAACTGGATCCTCTAACGTTTTCTTTTCCTCTTGGGGAGAGATACTTCTGAAAGGAAATAAAGAGATTTTTCTGACAAGCTTTCCAATCTATCTTCCCTCATAGGAATGATTAAAGTAGAATTAATTCTGCCCAGCAAAGGAAATTAATTAGATGAGCTCTTGAGATCCCCTCCCAGTTCCTCTCTCCATGGTTTTAAATATGAAAAAAAATCTTTCTAGATTCTACAGCACACTATCATTTAAAATATCAATTAAAATTCCACTGATGAACAAAATGCTGTACTTCAAAACTTAACTCAATTTTGAGAGCTTTCTGCTCCTCATGAAAACCTTTAAGATTTCATTGTGAATTTGACAAATGGAGTACTCACAAAATTAAGCACAAAATACCTGAAGAGATTGCTTATGGGTACTTTTAATGCTTCAGAATTTGCTGGCAAATTCTGAGAAATGGAGAACCCAATTTAGAAAGAAACTCTTTGTCCACAGCAACTTGAAGAAAAAGTAAGTAAATAAAGTACAACATTAAATGGACCACTGTGCCTCCAATCTGACCATTTAAAACTGAATGAATTCACATTGTCTACAACTAAGGTGATCAGAGAATGTAAACTCATTTCAGTACTACAAAATGCTCTTTTGCTTTTAAAAAGAGCAAATATGAATGTGCTACCTCAATACAAATGTATTTTAATAGTTATTATGCTCCCTTGTATGAAATCCTCTCCCATTACATACAATTTTGGATAGCAAATTAACTCCAAAAGATATACTCCTCACATTCATCTGTGTCATTAAGGCTTTCCAGAAGTTGTACTTAACCCCTTGCTCCCCATTTAAGCAACCTAATTAAATCCTACTCTTTCAGGTTAAGAACCAGTACCTCTGGTCTATCAAGTCTGCCTTCCACTACATAAGCAAGACCCATCAGTCTTAGACTAGCGAGGAACTGCCAGTGGCAATCTCACCTCTAGCTGGCCAGCTCCTCTCCCAGGAACACTACCCATGTTTGAGACATGGCAGCAAAGCCAAGAAGTACCCTGGGCTCTTCCCAAAGCACAGCTAAATAAGGTACCTCAGGATAAAGAGGATGCAATTTTATTTGTCCAGTGTCTGTTCCATAGTGCTTCTGTTCTCCTCAAGCAATACTGAGAACAGACCCTGAAGCTTCTGAGTTGCAGAGCAGTTCAAGACCATCTAACATCTCAATTCGTACTACACACATTTGATGCTTCTGTAGAGCAACTCCACCATCAGCTTGGAGAAACCTGCTTTACCACGCTTCCAAATAAAAATCACATTATTTCTAATAACGTCAATGACAGCAAAGTCATCCACTCTTCTGCTGCGGTTCCCAGAATCCTACCTCAGTTATGTCAGGCAACTTCTAATATAGTAGAGGATGCAGTTACTGTACATGTGTACTGGAACTTAATCCTTGCAGCATTGCCCAGCTGAAACTAAGGCTAGAGAGAAACTTCTATGTCCCCTCGCTTCCACAAAGGTGAAGGCAGCGAGGGCTATTCTGGCCTCGAGTACAGGTTACCTAAGTTCCCAGAGCCACTAGAACAGGTATCTTCTGTACG